TTAATTTGATTTTTTTTTTTTTTTTTTATTGAAACACAACAAAACCTGTCTGTTCCATGTGAGGAGGATGAGAAGAAAAAAAACCCTGCTGCAAACTTGTTTACAAAATTTAAATGTGAGAAAGGAAATGATTAATCAGTCGTCTAAGATAACATTTACTTTACTCATCTCTGGAGCTTAATGCAAAAATGTCAAATGTTTTCATTGTATTGCCAGTGTTGTTCTCTTCTTACTTTATTAAACAGGAAAAAAAAAATCATTGACAAACCGTCAATGTGCTAGAGAGTTCAGTGCTTTGGCTGGTAATGCACGCTGTGGTTTTCTTGGATATGGCTCACTTATTATTGAAGCCAATGTTTTGTTCTCCCACACGATTTCTCGCAGGGCAGAGCAGAAGCCGTGCTCACTGATTTTTTATCTTCATTTTTCTTTTTGAGCAACACTGTGGTGTATTTAGGTTACTGCAGCTGAAAGTGATCGTTCATTACTGGCACTGTGAAGCGACAGGCTTCATCTTCTTTTTTTGGAAGGATATGTGATATTATGGGGAGCTAGACATCACAAGCCTTTCAGTTAGCTGGGCAAAATTTGAAGGGTACAGCCAGACATGACCTAAACATACTCCTCTAGAGCATGTCCCAATATTAGTGTTTTCTTTTATCAGAAACATATTTTATTACTTCCTGAACTGTCATCGCTAGGAGTGTGAATCTCTAGCAGGAGCACCATCTGAAAGCTCAGTTCCTATTGAACAAGGCTTGCTCCAGTACTATATCTCCCAGGAGCCCTTTGGCCAGGCTCTTAGGATTCATGGCAACATCAGCAGGGAAGCACAGTGGCTTAGTGGTTAGCACTTCTGCCTTGCAGCACTGGGGAGTGCAAGGAGTTTGAATGTTCTCCTGTGCTTGCGTGGGTTTCCTCCAGGTACTCTGGTTTCCCCCCACACTCCAAAGACATGTGGAAAGGCTAATTGGCTCCTGTCTAAATTGGCCCTAGTATTTGTGTGCAATAGGGACCACAGATTGTAAGCTCCTTGAGATCAGGGATTGATTGTCTATATATATATATATATACACCACTTCACACAGAAAATTGTTGCAATTACAAATGTTTAGGCATTCTCATGTTTATTTCTTTTGTTCATATTGGTATGACACAAAAAAGTGAAGAGAAGAAAAAGCCAAATCTGATACATTCCACGCAAAAGTTTAAAAATGGCCTGGGCAAAATTATTGGCACCCTCAGTATTTGGTAGCAAGCCCTTGGAAAAAATAACTGAAATCAATCGCTTCCTGTAACCATCAATGAGTTTCTTACACCTCTCTACAGGAATTTTGCACCACTCTTCTTTCTCCAACTACTCCAGGCCTCTCAGATTGGAAGGGTTCCTTTTCCCAACGGCTGTTTTGAGATCTCTCCACAGGTGCTCTATGGGATTCAGATCTCAACTCATTGCTGACCAGTCCAGTACTCTCCGGCGCTTTGTTTGAAACCATTTCTGGGTGCTTTTTGATGTGTGCTTTGGCCTCTGCCGGAGACCCAACCTTCTTACACTGGGCACCTACATTGCGCCCCAGGATTCTTTGGTAGTCTTCAGATTTCATAATGCCATGCACACAGTCAAGACATCCAGTGCCTGAAGCACCAAAGCTACAACAAAACATCAGTGAACCTCCACCATGTGTAACTGTAGGGACTGTATTATTTTCTTTAAAGGCCTCATTTCTTTTTCTGAAAACAGTAGAACAATGGGCTTTACCATAAAGCTGTCATTTTGTTTCGTCAGTCCACAGCACATTCTCCCAAAAAGGATTTTGACTTCCTCAGTTAAGTTGTGGCTTTTTTATGTTTCTGTGTCAGCAGTGGGGTCCTCCTGGGTCTCCTACCATAGCGTCCCTTTTCTTTCAGATGACGACGCAATTTGGAGAAGGTGCCAATAATTTTGTCCAGTCATTTTTTGAGTTTTGCGTGGAATGTGTCAGGTTTGGCTTTTTTTTTTCTCCACTTTTTGTGTCATATCAATACAAACAAAAGAAATAAACATGAGAATGCCTAAACATTTGTAATTGCAACAATTTTCTGTGTGAAGTGGTGCATTATCTGACAGAAATGTAGGGTTGCTAATATTTTTGTCCATGACTGTATAGGAGTAGGGGATAGGAGGAATTCTGTAGTCCAGCAGGCAGGACTGACAACACTGGTTGGGATTTCAGTGTAACAAAGGCAATGTGTTGTCAGCCATACAGGAAGTTAGGAGCATGCTGGAGTTCTGACTGGTATTTTGTAGTTTTTGTTTAGAGGATAAACCCTGGGGGAAATGTGCACCTATTGTAGTCCTATACTGAATTTTTTGATGATATGTAAGCAAGATCTAAGAGCCGACTGGCCCTTTACTGTTCTATAGAATTTTGCAAGTTGTGTTTGTTGCCCATTGATACTAAGGTAGAAATGTTACCATGAATATTTCTGTCTATAATGGGGAAACAATGGCACCTTTTACTGGAACTTTAAAGATTAACTGAGAACTATGGGGTAAGTGTTTTTCCCCATAGTTCTCTTAAGGTTCACGGGAGGGCATATACTAACCTCCTCCCATGACCCAAAGCTCAGTATATCACGAGCTACAGCTTGCGGTATACTGACACTGCCGCAGGTGGGATGAATCCCAACAATGCTGTTGAGATCCACCCAGCTGCGTGAGTGACAGCTGGCTCTGCCTATCTAGAGGCAGAGCCAGCTGTGCCTGTCCCCTTCTTTGTCCGTTCCTCCAGTCAGCGCTGGAGGACTGGAGCGGGGAAGGGGGGGGGGAATCCCTGTGGGGAGTGGTAACTGCAGTCACCGCTCTCTGCAGGGAGATGATCGAGAAGCGAGCGACGGTATGCATATGCTCACTTCCCGATCTATTGAGCCGACGTGTGACAGTTTTATTCACTCACCTCATAGTTCTCCTTTAACTCTAATGCAGCTCTGTATTCTTGAACACATCATGAATTTTTATTTTAATGCAGACAGTGCTTTGATTTGACTTTTTATAAACCGCTTTGTCTCTGTACAGCCTGAGAGAGAGAAGCAGTGTCTTTAAAGAGAACCTGTCATAATGGCTGTTATTTGTCAGAACCAAGGCTACCACTTCCCAAATACCAGAACAGCATTTCACATTTTTTTTTTCGTTGCAGCACCCTTTAATAGTATGCAAAATCTATAGGCATCCCAGCCTAAAATGTAAAAGACAAAGTGTGGTTTCCCTCATAATTTCCCACAAAATCTATAACAAACCCTGATCCTAGATAGGGGTCTGGTATGGATTTTAAGGGGGGCCCCATGTAACAACAAACAATTATTTACATCAGTGTCCCCCCTTTCATTTCATAACCCCCCTTTCACATTGGAGTCCCCCCCCTTTCACATCAGGATCCCCCTTCATGTCCAATCTTTTAATCTTCCCCACACTGCAGCTAAGGCAGCATGGTGGGGAGTGGCATGTGGGGCAGGTCTGAACAGAGGTGGACTCTTGTCCTCTTCTGAATGTTCAGGGAGGTCAAGGATGTAACCCCCCCCCCCCCCGTGAATAGCATTGTGCATTTCCACGGCGCTGGTGGCTGGCTCGCCTGCACCATTGGTATGCTTTTGAAGGCATCCCTGACAAAGCCAGAAGGCACACCAGTGTGCTATGGTCCCGTGTTTAAGAAATGTTGTACCAGAAGCAGTGCTAGTTAATGTGCAGGAGACACTTCTGCAGCATTGCACACCAGGACATGCTCTGCCCTGAAACTTTAAAGGTGCCCATACACCTCACTTTTGTCTTGCGATGGTTGTAAGGTAATTTAAAAAAAACGTACGATCTGCCCATCTTGGACAGACAGATTGTACTTGCGATCATCGCAAGTCGGCCCCCCTGAGGGGCGGGCTTCCAATGACTGCAATGCTGAACGGGCAGTGTGCGCTTGTACGATTCTCGGCGGGTTTTTGAGCCTGCTTGTAAGACAAAAGACATGCGACCGTACATTACAAATGGTCGCACGCCTTCCATACACCTGCCGATTCTCATACGATCACGGGATTTCCAGCGACTACCGTACGATAATCGGCAGGTGTATGGGCACCTTAAGAGTCAGACAGTGGCAGCCTTTTGCCCTGGGTTGGAACCTCAGCTGTGCCAGGTTACCGGTGATTGGTTTTCCTTAATGTATTAATGCTTGTGTAGGATAACACATTTCCTTCATGTTTCCTGTAACAACCAATATTTGACTACTTGTTGCTGAAAATGGCAAGACAATAAGCAGGACATTATTTTATACAGCTCTGTAAATCGGGATACTGGAGAGAACAGTACAGTACCAAAAGAACAATTTTCCAAAATGGATGGGGGGTGGATGTGTATGTATAATACATATGTAAGTAACCGCTGCTTTTGCATATCTTTACACAGGACGCTGGAAGAGAATGTGTACAAGATTTCCCTGTCCCTGGCACAGCGTTACCAAGTGCCTCTTTGGGAGGTTTACATGACACACTTGGAATACTTGTTCTCTGACAGTGGGTGAGTATCAGCTCAAGTGTTTCCTTCTCAAACGTATTCACTGTTAGCAGTGGTGCATGCACATCATGGCTAGGACGGTTGTTGCTGCTGCCTTGACATGCACCTGCTATTATGCCCTTTGTTCCTATCACTTGACAGCAGAATAATTTCTTATCCTTTTTTTTTTTAAATTCCAGAGTGTAACAAAAGTTAAAGAAAAAAACATAGAAACAGAACTAAGACATGGCATTCTATTAAACCAACCAAGCAAACATCTCTAGAGGCATTTTTAATGATATAATGCAGATAGGGATGAGATTCGGGTTTGATGCTACAGTGGGTTCGAGGCAAAACCTTTGGATTTGAGATTTGCTGTCCTGGTGAATATATGCACAGATTCGCCTCGGAGATGCAGGTTTAGAAGTGCCAATAAGGGGACTTTTGGTAATGCCACCCCCTCTATAAAAGAGGGGGAGGCACAAAGCAGCCATTGTGTAAGTGAATTGGAAGCTGTTGCAGGAAAAGTTGGCCAACCCGCCTAGGGACAAATTAGAGTTTGTTAGGAAACTGTACTTAATTTCTGATTGCTAGCTCTTTGTGCAAACAACCCCTTTGCTGCTTTTTTTGTTTTTATTCTTATGTTTTTGTCTTTTATTATGTGGTCGAGTTCTTGTCTTGTACCTAGCACACTTTATTTATTTATTTATTTATGCTGCAGTATTTAGCTTTACAAAAATGGGCTTTGTTTCCAGAGGAAATATTTTGGGATTTTCTTTTTTGTCCATAGGCCAAAAAAGTGGGATTGTGTTTTAGGTGTGGTACTTAAGGATTCTCATTTATTTTGTTTTTCATATTTATTTATTAAGTTTGGTGTGCTCGAAGCAACACTGTTACTGACTATCTGTTCATGGAACTGCCTTTTGTTCACAGCATGTTGCTGCATCGTTTCAAGGGAAAAAATAAAACTAAATGCAAGAACACCTCACATTATATCACTCACATTCACTGCACCCCTCCTACTCCTATTGATAAAATGCAGGTTAGGCATTCACCAGTTAGGCCTAGTATCCCTAATTAAAGCTGTACTCTGCCACCCAATTCTCCTTCATTGCTGGCCAATTGTTCACTGTCATGTCATATACAGGTTCCTAATTCTTAATGATAGCGTGATAGAAACTGGCCAGTGGTAGGACAGTTTTGCTTTAGTGTGAACAATGACAGCCACAGTGAACTAGTGGCCAATTTCTATCCGCTCAGATTGGGTCTATTACTGTTTGATGAAAAAGCATGTGTCCCTTCCAAAGCCACCTGAAAAAAAAGCCTTTTAAAAAAACTCAGTGAATTGGGGTGCTGCTGCTACTTGTAAAAGAAAAGAAAAACAAAAATTCCACAGCCAAAACACGAGTTGTCACTGAGGCTGTCCATGGAAATCAAACTGCTCTGTAACAGTCTACAACTTTAAGGCTTACCACAAGCATTACTTTTAAATGATTTGTGTATTTTGAATGTTGACACCCCCAATCACCCCCGCCCCCCGCCCTCTACGGTCCTTTATTTTTTTTTTGCATGTCTCCCTAGCAGTGCCCAGCTTTCCATGCTTTTTTTTGGCAGTAGTTGCCTGTTAGCCCTAAAAATGTTTCTTGCAGTAACACTGAATTGGTCTTTGCTAGCATAGCTGAGTTGCAGTCACATTCATTAGCACAAGTGTCCTTGCACAGACTTGCAGTGCAGAGAAAGGGAGGTGGTGTATCTGACCTGGTATGTGTGTACTAGTCGGAGCACTGGATCTTTTATAGAACATTTTAGACTGCGCAACCATGTTTAGACACCACACAACTGCTGTAACAGGCAAATGGAGGTTATTTACATTTATAAATTTACACTTTACAATGTGTGAGTAGTTTACCAGCATACTGATCCCTCCAGCCAGCTGATGGATTCAGTGTATGCGTAGAGAACAACCAGCCACTACTCACGCAGTGATTTTCCTACAAGTTGTAAAATATCTACATGCAATAACAAGAACTTTAAACATCTGGAAGCATTCATAACTGTTCTCTAGGTGACCCCTGTATGGGCCAGTCCTTGCTTGGCTTTCTAGGATAAACCTATTTTCTCATTAAGGAAGGGTTTTGACTATTGCATGCCGCAGCTCTAGAGGTTGTCCCAAGGCAGAAGAAAAAAATTAAAGTGGCTTCACCATTCTGGTAACATAAATGGATTTCAACTAATATATTCTGGGTCAGTGACTGCGGGAGGAAAATAGTTCTGCATTACTATGTCCTAATTTCTTGCATTTGACATTTAGTAGAAGTAGTTCAGGCTTGAGAAAGCAGCGGTATTATTTGTGCCCTTACATAACGTAGTCAGGGCTTTTTGTCCAGGTAATTAATGTTACATGTTTATTTGAGGTTATTAGCTACAAAGGTGGGAGTTGGAGTACATTTATATAGGACATTGCTGTTAACGGCTGTACTGAGCTATGGGACTTGAAGTGTCAAAGTGGAGAGTTACGTACATTTCCCAACTGAATCAACAGAACTTTGAGAGAATGATCTCCGTGGAGGTTATTCCTGCTGTATGTCTCAAAGGACCTTCTACTGTACTGGCCTGAGAGAAACTGCTGTTTGTTAGAGCTAAAAATAAGACTTGTCTTAAAATAACAACCTTCAACTGGGAAAAAAGAAGTAAGAGAAGATTTTATGTTTTCTTCCATATTAATGACCCCTATATACATATTCCTGTTGGTCCGTGCATGACTGTAAGCAAGCAGTGTAACATCTATGTAACCCAACTAGGGATGCACAGATACTTTTCAGATACCAGTGCAGATACTTGGCATTTTCATGAGAACTACCAGGGTTGCAGCGGTTGCAGCTGGGACCTGGCTCTGGCACTCCACCACTGTCCTGAAACCATTAGCCTGTATTGTTTTAGAAAAACGGTCACATGACAATAAACAAAAATGTTTCAGTACTTGTAAGTACTCGGCAAGTACCAGTACTCGTACTCGCAAAACTGGTATCTGTGCATCCCTTTATTTATATTTATAAAAACAAAATTGTACATTAAAACAGAGATGTGCTTCTTACAAATAACAGCTGCCTCCTAATTTTTGAATTTTTCTCTAGTCTAGTCTTGGAGCTGGAAAAGTATCGGTACATGTACTTGTACTTGGTATCTGTGCAACCCTAAACCCAACAGTAGAAATGTTTCAGTAATTAGTAACAGCTTAGTTATTATGGAGTTAGCAACAACACTTCATTTTTGGAAATGCTAAAAAAAAAAAAAATATCAACTGAAGGGTGCGCCACGAGTTTAATAGTCAGCCTGCAAAAAAGCACCCTGTCTAATAGGGATGTACTGATATATCAGACGTAAATGGAACTTTTGGCATAATGTCAAAAGTGCCATTATCTGGCCGATACAGTGGTGCATCCGTTCTTTCTCTCCTCCCCGCTGGGCGCTGCTCTGTATCCCAGATGAAAGGAGAGAAACTGTTACTGGCGGCCAAGCGCTGCGGGAGGAGAGCGCTGTGAGTGGCTGGCGTCTCTCCTCCCACACTGCTCAGCCTCCTGTCACAGATCGGCAGAGCGGTGTGTGGGCAGAGACAGCCAGCGCTGTCACAGGAGGCTGAGCTCTGCTCGCTGAGTGTTTGTACATAATTGAGGTCAGAGTATGGTTACTATATCCTCAATTATGAATGAATGGGAAGGGACATTTTCGGTTCCGTCCTGACATTTTTTTTCCCTTTCGGTTTCGTTTTGGTTTTGAAATTTTCATTTCAGTATACCTCTACTGTCTAATACACCTCTACTAATACTAAGGAGCTTTTAGTTGCACGTCTTCTGCAGAACATGTGGAAGCCACACTGTCTTGTCAAGGAGTAGTGTGGTCCTAACTCTAACCTATGAGAGCCCCCATCTTGGAGCATATATAGCAAAGGATGGATTGGGTGCGGGTATGCCAGGAGGCAGCCCAACCTACTTAAAGGCACAGGGACACACCAGCAACCCCATACATCACAATGGCAGCTGAAGCCCCCAGTGTGTTCCCACACTAAATCCAACAAGCAAAATTAATGGCAAAGGCACTCATCAACTCATAACTAGCTTTAAAACAAGGTGATGGAAGGGCATTATACAGTACAGCAGCAAAAAGTTTCCCAGCACACTCACCAGCCAGCATGCAAAAAACGCTGTCTAACTACGAAGGTCGAAAACAGGTTTTATTTGAACGTCTTCTGCAGGATTATGTGGAAGCTGTGCATGACTGTAGCTATCGCAGGCGGTGTAACATTTATGTAACCCAACAGTATAAATGTTTCAGTAATTAATAGCAGCTTAGTTATTATGGAGTTAGCAACATCACTTCATTTGTCTTGTTGGAAATGCTAAAAATAAATATATATAAATTAACTGAAGTGTGTACCTACTCGGAGCGCCCCCCACCGGAGCTGCAGTGACACGACGCTCGGCGAGGTAAGTAAGAAGAAACATGACCAGCGTACTCACTTTCTTCAGTGCTCGAGACGCTGACTCGAGTATAAGCCGAGGGGGGCATTTTTCAGCACAAAAAATGGGCTGAAAAACTCGTCTTATACTCGAGTATATACGGTAGTTGTGTGGGGATGAATTGTTTGAGAACGTGATAGTTCGGTGGTTGGGTTGAGGTGGGATAGGCTTCCCTGAAGAGATGAGTCTACATGAAGAGGCACAACACATATCTTATCTACCTACAGGTTTCTGGTGTAATTAGCTAGATGTCTTCCCATCTGACGTTCTCATGGGTCCATAGGACTTTAGCTACACCCTTAAAATAAGTATTAAATCTTACTTCTAACTATAGACTACTTTTTGGAAATTTTCACACTATGACAATATAATATGAGCACTGATAGATTAAATGATAAACTGTAGTACTGTTTTCTTCCTCTCTCCCCAGTATTGAGAGAGCATTGGAGGTTCATCATTTGTGTCTGATGATTTCTCAATGGTCATGCTAATGGAGCAATTTAACCCAAGTGTAAATGAGAGATGGTCTTACCGCTTGCATGCCAGGCATAATCTAATCAGAAGAAATTACCTGGATTCATCATTCATTAGAGTGAGTTTTAAAGATGATCTCTCTGAGATTCTCTGAAGAATTGCACTTGAATCAAAAACGCGTTGCTTATACACAGCTAAAATGAACTCTTCATCATTAGATTTTTAGGCCCCTTAAGGAATTCATTTTCTTTTATGGATGGAAAGTTACAGCCGAGAGTCAGAGATGGTAATTCAGACATCGGGAGACATAAAATACATCATTGCATTCATGGTCTGCTCGGGGGATGCGCCTGCTTTTTCTCTACGAAACCTGGGATATTTTATATGCTGTGCATTTAAAGTACCCATTGAGGTCTCTATAAGGCTGTCATACCATCCTAAAAAAAAGGAAAAGTGGCAACGCTATCCAATAAAATTTGCATCTGTGCTTAGGTGAGACAACCTACTTACATTAACACCAGGTTTTTTTCATTAAACCTTATTTATATATTACATGTATTTATATAGCTGCCCTCAAGGAACTTACATTTTGAAATCTGTACATATTAGGGCCAACTATCCTACCAGCCAGGCTTTGGAGTGTGGGAGAAAACCCATGCAAGCACAGGAAGACCGTGCAAACTCCATGCAGATAGTGTCCTGTTCAAAACTGGATTTGTTCTATAGGACCTCAGTGCTGCAAGGCCGAAGTGCTAACCACTGTGGTGCCCCGCAGCCATGTTTCTCTGGCTTTTCATTCTACTGTGAAGGGCTCTCTTGCCCATTGATCCTGTGCTATGTATTCTTTTGTCAGGCCTTGTTTGAGTGTTTTTAAAAGTCAGCAATGAGCTCAAGGGGCCCGACTCAGAACCTGTGAATACATCGGGAGCTGATTTTTTATTCAGAGGCGGATTTGCACCAAGGTATTTTACGTTTTGTGTATTGCAGGGAATTTCACTAATTATTATAAATGATTATTTGCTGCTGTTCTACAATAAAAAAAAATCACAATGTTTCAGTAGGTTGGGAAGATTTTGCCATGGTGTGCAAAGGATGGGGTTAGTACAGAGCTTAGGAGTCAGCATAGAAAACCTGCTGTGGCTGTCACCTTTGTTTGTGACTCGTCTGCATAACACACTGAGACATCGGGGAATGTTGTTGAGAAAGAAACTGATAGAAAGTAAAAAATGTTCTTCATTTACTCATTCAGTCAGAGAACACCTAGTTCATTAATTGATTTAAAAAAATACTTGCCATTGGCTGCTGTGCCGAGTGAGCGTCCTGCTGTGTTTTAAGTATGGATGAAACTTTGGCCGATAATACAAAAACGGCCAAAAATGCGGTGCATCCCTAGCTTCTCCCCTCACCACTGGGCTCCGGCGGCAAGCTTCGGTCTGTGTCCCCTCTGATCCCTGCTGCTCTCCCCCGCCTGTGTCGGCAAAGGCAGCACGGATTGGATGGGACACAAAGCAGGGCAGTGCAGGAAGACAGCTCAACTCTTGTGACAGGTGGAGCACAAACACCGATCAGTACAGATCACTGAGTGTTTGTAAATAGCTGAGGACATAGTATTTAGTTATTGTGTCCCAAGTTATGAATAAACAGCAAGAGCTCTTCATCACATCCTGTTTATTTATGATTGTGGACATAATGATTGACTGTTTATTACACTTTTGTGAGGCTCAAATCATTTTTCTTTTTGTATTTCTTGCAGGTTGGCTACAGCAGAAATTGAGGCTCGGGCACAATCTCTCAGACTGTTTGAGACTTTGAAAACTGACCCACAATTGTTTTATGAGCACATGGCGAAATACGTGTATCCCACCATTGAAGGCCGAGACCTTCAGCGGCTACTCTACTATTATACTCTCCTGGAGCAGTGCGGCTGTTCCCAGTATGTTACCCACGCTATCAAGCCTGAGTGTCACGTGAAACTCCTGAAGAAACTGAAAGCAGTGGCTCAAGGTACAGCTCTCATTGCCTCCATTCTTCAAGTGGACCAAGGATGCAATATATATATATGTTTTTCATGCTAAAACTGCAACAGAAGCCAAAACTTTTGTTTTGGATGGAGTGGAGAAAGATTAGAACCCCTGTCATGTTGTATTTCCCTTGCCCACGTTAGAGAGAGAGAATCACCCTCTCTATTTGTCCTTGTGACGGCTATCACTGGGAATCACCCACAATTTGGGTTGCCACAAGAACAGATGGACAATCGTCAAATATTGACACTACTTCTGTTGATCCTGCTGACCAAGAGGGATTTCCTTTCACTGTGGAAGGATTTCCCCTCACTTCCTGTTGTGGCTATTGGACAGAAAGTGAAGCGAAATGTCCCCAATGGGACGCGGATGGCAAAAAAAGCTGACCAGGGTTATAACCCTTCCTTACTTTATCCAGCACTAAACAAAGTTTTGGCTTCAATTCTACTTTAAATGCATGTATGTTAAACCTTTCATGACCAGCTTTTTGATGCTTAGATGGTCAGACCAAGTTTAGCATCATCAGTATGCGCAATTTAACTTGACAATAACTTTCCGACAAATTTTTCAGTTTGACATAGGCCTGAGAACTAGGAACACATGCAGCTGTGTGGTCCTAATTCTTCTGCAAGTCAGATAATGTATTGCAATCACAAAGGGGGTTAAAGTGAAATTAAACTCAGGAGTTAAATCTTAAAAATGCATTCAAGTACCTTAATTTAACATTTGAGGATCTACAGTCGAGTGTAGATAAGAGACTTATTTGTGTATCACTCGACTGTAGATCCTCAAATCATCCCTGAATTGGTGCTGACACTGTCCTTCCTTCTGGAGGGGGGCTACTTTTGTTCCTCATGGTCCCTGTGTGTGTTGTAAAGTAGCTTGTAAAAGTAGAGGATCACCAGCACTCAGAAGATATCAAATCCTTGTATTCATGTATTGAAGAAGGCAACATAGTGACACGTGTGCACTATGTTGTAAAGTAGCCACCACTCCAAGCTCACTCCAGTGATGGACTGCAATCTCATCTTTAGTTTACTAATTTGTATTGAGATTGTAGTCCATCACGGGAGTGAGCTTGGAGCGGTGGCTATTTTACAACACCCACAGGGACTATGGGGAACAAAAGTAGCCACCCTCCAGAAGGAAGGACAGTGTCACCATCACCAGCAATGAATAAACAACATATTGTTTACAGGTGAAACAATGATAGAAACCAACATTTTTAATTTGGGCTTTAAAGTGACACTAAACTCAGGAGTTAAATCTTAAAAATGCATTCAAATACCATAACTATTAACAAAATTGTATCTTATTTGTGCATCACTTGGCTGTAGATCCTCAAATCATCTCTGAATCGGTGCTGACACTGTCATTCTTACTGTAGGGTGGCTACTTTGGTTCCCCATGGTCCCTGTGGGTTTTGTAAAGTAGCCACCTTCCAAGCTGGCTCCTGTGATCTCAATACAAATTAGTAAACTAAGCATGATATTATAGTCCACCACTGGAGTGAACTTGGAGTAGTGACTTTACAACACCTAGTGACTCAGGATCACAGAAGGCATTGCCACAATTTTCGCTCAAGTCGAGCTCCTCGTGAGAGGTTTCACGAGGCCAGGTCGCTCATCTCTTAATCAAGGAATTATTCGAGTGTTGACACGCCAGTCTCTAGAGTGGTGGACGTGAGAGGCCACATCTGGAACCAGGGAAATAGCTAACCATTACCACAGATGCCAGCAGCAGGGGTTGAGTCAACCTGTGCTTGGGAAACTGAGTTCAGGTGCAGTAGTTGGGCCGGCCTCCTGCGAGTTAGAATCTCTTGGAGTCGACAGCGATCCTGGAAGCTTTGAAAGCTTTTTAATCATTATATCGAAGAGACAAAAGTAAGGATTCTGTCAGACAACAGGACCTCTGTGGCGAAGCAGGGGGCAACAAGGAGTCTCCCTCTTCTGCAGATAGCCACTCAGATATTTAGCTGGGCAGAAATAAATCTGCAGTATGTATGTGTGTGTATATATATATATATATCATTTAGTATCTAGATAGCATTGCAGCGTCTGCTACATGTTGCGTCCCCGAGGCCTTCAGTAACTCGGAGAGCTCCTAGGCACAGGACAAAAGAGCGGCATTTACAGGCAGATTGGTTTGTGACTTGTTTGTAGAAATTGCTTATCATTGTGTGGAAAGGTTTCTTCATGGCGGGCAATAGCAACACAGAAATGACAAAGAAATTATTACATTGTGAGAAGATGTAACTAGGGATTTTTGAGCCCCAGGCACAGAGCTTGTACTAATGCTGCTTTCCCCCACACGAAACTTCAGGCCATTTTTGTATTCCTTTGCATCCATTCTCTTCATTGCCCTTGTCTTGTGCGTTGTGTTTTGCAGGCAAAATGGCAATTCTAGTAGAAATAAAATACATGTAACAGATTCACTTGTCAGAACTCGATACATTACAGCTGAGCTCCTGGCACATGTAAAAATGTATCTTTGTGTACCTTTAAAAATAATTTCTACATACATCTAGCATAACTACATGAACCTGTCTATATATCCCCATTCCCTGCACAGGAGTACTCGGACTGGTAGGGATAGCTCTTAGTACCAATCAGGTCTTGCTGCATGCACATGTGCTGAATTGGAACATGCTCATAGATGGAAGGAGCAGAGTGGACAAAGCTGATGACATATAAGTGTGTTGCTGCTGCTGCGGCTTTCTGGCTCATTCAAACATATGCATTTTCACGTTTTTTTGGTGCAGTGGATGTTGCACATTCATTTTTCTAGCACACTGAAAGGCAAAGCAGGTGTTTGGTATTACCTGCATTCATATAATTACATGCATTAGGATGATTACACGCATGCAACAGTGTGAATCCCATTTTCCCGGTCATTTAGTAGGCTGAGGGATGGGAGGTGACACCATTGTATGCCTTAAAGCCAAGCTCTAGGCAGATATAAAGACACACATTATTGCAGCTCTGCATTCACTATTACATCATAAAGACTCCACAAGGAGTCTTTCAGTTCATGTGCTGGCAAGGAACATGTTGATAGAAGTAGAAAGCAGAGTCACTGAGAGATGAACCCATCATTGTTCTTGTTTTGTTTTGTTATCTTTTAATGAGCTGGTGTTCTTTTTTTTTTTGGGGGGGGGGGGGTTATTTTTTTTGTTTTGTTTTGGCTGCAGTTAATCTTTAACTGTTAACAGCCTTCTTGGCTGTATTATCTGACAGAGACATGTTAATTACCACACAGTTATATCTTATCTGTTATAGGATTTGAATAACAAATCCTTTAACAGATAAGACATTTTGGTTATGCGTATTTCAGCTGTTTGCCTGGAGCTCAGCTTTACATTTTATTTTACTTATGTCATTTCTATGTAACTTTGTGCCCTCCTGCCATTTCTGCACCCTGGATGGAGATCTGCCCCAGCTGACAAAACCCCCCTCCCCCCTCCAATCTATCTATCTATCTATCTATCTATCTATCTATCTATCTATCTATCTATCTATCTATCTATCTATCTATCTATCTATCATATCACAACAGCTCTCATAATAGCAAGAAGAAAATGTGGGTCCTGAGGTTACACTGGTTGAGAACCACTGCTTTAGGGGCCATGGTAGCTAAGGGAAATCTGTGTCCCCTACCCGTGGTGCCCTAAGCACATTCTTATTATGCTTAATGGTTAATCCAGCCCTACTGAGTGTAAGATTGTGGATACATCTACTGTAAAATGCACCATCAACAGCAGGTATGCATATAGTAATGCTACACGGGGGGGGCTAAAACACAAAGGGACCCAAGTGCAGAAGCCGGCTGAACATTCCATGTGGAGAAGCCAGTATTTCTTGGTGCCTCTTTATAGACGTTTTAAACATTAAAGTAATTTAAACCGATTCACTAAAATCTCATATAAATATGTTAACATGATTGCATCATTTCAAAAGTCAGTTTTAAGAGTTTTGAATTTGCAGCTTTTATAAAATATTTTAATATAATATATTAAAATACCTGGTGATCCTGCCATGAAGATCCTTGTCCAGATACGTCCTGTTGTTAAATGACAAAGCTCTGTCTCTTCTTTCGTATTGTGCACTTGTGTTATGACCCTGCCACAAGCTCTCAGTGTAGACTACAAATAGCTATGCCAACACATATTACACAGGCATGGTTCACGGTCATTACCATCAGAAAACAATGATTGTAGTCACACATTTTGTGTCTACACAGTGTCAACATTTTGTATTCACAGCTCAATAAATGCCAAGGTGAGAGAGAGCCATCATGTCTGAAATATTAACAAGAAATAAAATAAGTATCAAATGTCCCCTACACTTCTAGTCACAGAGAGCACACTGTACTAGTCCTTGCAGCAAGGCCATAAGAGAGCTGCATGCTGTAGACTGACTTGCAATGCTTTTACTTTAAAATGTATAT